TTTTGAGTTAAGTATAAAAATAAATTGTGTAACAATTTGTTAAAATGTAAAGTTACATGCCAACCAATGTATTGATTGAAGTCTAAATAAGATCATAAGCCTCTCATAAATTTTGTGATTTTTCTACATTACATAACTCATTCAAATAAGGTGCCCTACGACTTTCTACTTAGAAAATAGATGCTTTATCCACTGAGCTACCGACATTTTTAGTTTATCCTATTAATAAAATAAAATTTTCTATTTTATTATCAGCTTCAAGATATCTTTCATTTAATTACGAAGTTGGTCTATTTCCCCTCGAAAATATCATGGTCCTTTTATTTAATTATTTTTATTTTTGTCGTTATTATGTCTGGAGTGATACAGATATGGAATGATTCATTTTGAAAATGTAAATTAATATACCAACAACCACTTATATGTTATTGAAACAAGACAATATGCATTAGGGCATATTAGGTACGGAGTAGGTATCGAGTTATACACATGGGATTGATTGTTTCTAAAAAACAAAAATGTATCTAATGTAATAAAACAAGTTTGATGTTTGTAGTGGTATAATTTATGCAAGATGCATATCTATATAAAAGAGATTCCGGCTCTTTTATCTACTCGTCTAAAATATATCTTCTTCAAAAAAAATATTCGAAAATATAATAGGTTTGTAAGCTATTGTAGGGTGTCTATTTTCTCCCAAATGTGGAATATAGACGTTTATAATAAATGAGGTCCATAATACTTACTAGAGCCTCAAGATCAAACCCTTATGCTTCTTTTGTTGTGTTTGTGGATCTCTCATTTGTATGCTCTATTTTGTTCTCGATTTTAAGCGAAGACTTGTTTCTTACGATATCGTAGATCTATCTCTATCGTATCGAGTGTTTGTTTGAGATTCTAGTCTGGGCTTGAGCACTTTGTGGAGGCTCCTTGGCCCACAAAATAAAACTCGTGTTGTTCAATCTTCGTCACTGTTCCCAAATTTGCACCATGAGGGCAAAACAGAAGTTCTTTTAGCTCACCTTTCGGCTCCCAACTTGCTTTCTCCCCTACAAAAAAGCAGAAGCAAATCAACGGTAACCGAATTATTTCCCGCCTTTTCATCACCCCCTTTCTATATTTTCGAATCCCTTCGTCATCTTCTTCCACTCTTTCGGCCACTGCATTTTTGTATTCACTTTCTTGCTTTCAATTTGGTTGGTGGGTTTCAATCTCTGAGTTGAAATCGCCCCCAATCAACTCTTGATTTCCACTGAACAAACCATGGGAAAACAAAAGGAAAAACCTAACAATCAGTGAGCTGACGGGGATGGATTAGTTTTTTCTCCATAATTCTTTGGGATTCCGAAAAGTCGGTTGCTCTCCTTTCTTAAGATTCTTTACCCATTTGTGAAAGCAAATTCTTGATTCCCTCGTAATGATTCCGATTTAAACGCACCCTTTAGAAAATCATCCAAAAAGCTTCAATGTCTCTTGGACTCTAGCCTCTGTATCCCTCCTATTCTCCCCCTTCCCCTTTATTTCAACTTTCATCAAAACCCTTTTTCGAAATGGACTACTTATAAATCAGCTTCTGAGCTGCACGCCTCACCAAAATTAGCTCCTCACTGCCACAGCAATGAAAACTCTGTATCCATCTTCACACCTTTCCAGCTCTGCCTGGTTCCTGCTTCATAATCCAACCACAAAGTGGACTAAGGAAGAGAACAAGAGGTTTGAGAGTGCCCTCGCTATATTTGATAAGGAAACGCCTGACCGATGGTTCAAGGTGGCCGCTATGATTCCTGGAAAGACCGTGGATGATGTGATTAAGCAATATAGGGAGCTTGAAGAAGATGTTTATGAAATAGAAGCTGGGAGATTCCCAATCCCAGGTTATGATCTCGCCTCTTCTTTTTCGTTTCAGTTCGTTGATGGTCGAAGGAAATCTTCCGTTGGTAGGGGCTCCGATCATGAGAGGAAGAAGGGGGTTCCTTGGACAGAGGAAGAACACATGTGAGTTTTCATTTGGGGACTTTTTCTGATACCATACTTTACTGTTTGGATTAAGTTTTGGTTGATGGGTATGTTTGGTTTTGTATAGTGAAGCTTTTAAGCTAAAACATTTCTACCTGTTTTGTTGTTTTATTGTCGTGTTGGTTGATGTCTAGGGTGGTATTGAATTGAATTGAATTGAAATGAAATTTATGTATAGGAAATTTCTGAGGGGACTATTGAAGTATGGAAAAGGGGATTGGAGAAACATCTCAAGAAACTTTGTGAACTCCAAGACTCCTACTCAAGTGGCAAGCCATGCCCAAAAGTACTTCATGAGGCAGCTTTCAGGGGGGAAAGACAAAAGAAGGCCAAGCATCCATGACATCACTACTCTCAACCTCACAGACACCACAGCATCAGAGAATCAGAACTTGTCTTCTTCAATGGATCAGCTTTCCAGCCTTCCTTCACTGCAGAGGTCACCCTGCTATCAAAACCTTCTGTTTGATTGGAACCAATCGACGGACACGGAGCTGCTCGGTTTAGGACCTAACTATGGCGATCCTCTCATGTCGTTCTCATCTGGGATTGCTGCAAATGGAATAAAGAATGAGCAAGATCGAGAACTGAGCAGTGCATATTATGGAACTTACTCCAACCCTCACAAATCCATATTTCAATTTGAATCCTCAAGACGTCAAGTTTATGGATGAGGAGGATGGATGTTGGTGTACATTGCTGGGTTGTTTAAAACGCCAAGGCGAATAAGGTTCAATAGACACTCTTGAATGTCAATACTTTTTACTTGGTGATGTTGTGTTTATGAAGATCTAAAGGTTCATATACCTGTTCCTTATCATCAAAGGCATGTGTGCCATATGAAATGAAAAGAAAAGAAAAAAAAAAAAAAAAAAAAAACTTGCATTTGTCCTTGGATTTGCTGGAAAACTCTTCCTGATTAAAACTCAAAACACTTTTACAACCATAGATTACATCAACTATACAACGATCGTAAAATCCCTCCCGAACACGACATTGTTTGTTGACGATTTGGGTTATATGCATTACTCTTGGTTGATGCTCACTTGATGATGCAGACTGCAACATAAACTGCTGGTTTGAGACCTGCAGAAAGAGAGTGATTTGAAGAATGTTGAGTAGATATTTGATTTAATTGCAGTTTTTACTTTAGGTGCATACCAGAGGCCATGTCAGGAAGTGATGTGGCTAAACTTGCTGACTCATGAAGCACTTTTGACATCCCACAGAGGAGCAGCCATTTTTGTTTGCTTCTTAAAATCTTTATATATATGTATGTATGGGCAAGTTGACTGAGGCTGATCAAATCACTTAGTTGGAGCTGAGTTTGAACCCACTTGATTTTAGGGCATAATAGGCTGCCTCGTGGCCACCAATCATATTATAAGTTTATTCCATTATGAATAAGCCTTCCAAGTTAGTTCATAAAATATCTCATACGTCTTCCAATTTATAATTTTGTTCCAACTTATGGTTGAACTTGCCAAGCTACCCTCGGACAAGAGATATTATTGATAGCCTAATAGCACTCTACCACGAATTTTGATCATACCAACTACACCTTCGAGACTCACAACTTCGAGACTCACAAAGACACATTTGAGACTAACAACTTCTTTGTTCTGTGACACATGAGAATTTTATTAACATGACTAAGTTAAGATAAGGGTATGACTTTGATATCACTTATATAACAACAATGAACCTCCATAATGATATTATATTGTCTACTTTGAAAATAACTCTCATGGTTTAGTGAAGATAGTGTCTCCACTTATATCTCGAGACCTCTTAATTAGCGAAAGCTTGACTCCAGTTAGGATGATTTTTAATTGGACATGTTTTTTTTTTTTTTTTTTACTATGTCAATAACACCCTAAACATGATTTAAATCTAATGTCTGTAAAAAAATATTAAATGCAAAAGAAACCATACAATATTAATTATGAAAGGCAAGAGGGGGGATAAAGATTAGAGCAAATCCACAAAATGTCAAATGAAATAAAGTAATCATACAATATTAATTATAATATATGGTGTTTAATTTGATGCTTACAAAAGCTTTTGGACCCATATGTCACACCATTGAACATTTTGTTTTATTTTTCAACCACATACAAAGCATTTTTTTTTCCTTCTTTTCGTTCCTCCAAAGTTGAATGAGCAGCATGAATATTCTTTTTTACTTTTTGGGTGGTAAATGAAATAATTATCAACTTTTAAATTCCTTCGCCTTTTTCTTGTTGTATTATTATTTTTGTTTGATTTCTCGGTGATTAGATACCAAATGATCTTGATTCTTATAAGATAAGGTGAATTTTGAAGATAAATATTCATCTTCAGAGGTTGAAATTAAGTCCAACCAAATTAATCATTTAAGTAGCGTAATACAACAATTAGTAATTAATTATATTGCATTCACCAAAAAAATTATTATGAAACCATGGGATTGTGGCAAAAATATTAGAAGATAGGACAATTTTGCATCAAAAAGGTTTATAATGTACCAAAATAATTATAAATAAAAAATTAATTCCACTTTAATATGATTTATCATCCACTTTCTAGACTCTTCAATATTGTTCAATTTTAAATAATAATTAAGAGAATATAGATCAGTGTAGAAAAAGCAAAGGCTAGAATAGGTATATCTGATAAAGTTTAGAGAAATAGTAAAAGTGGAACTTAACTATTTTTGTGAATAATTTAGGAAAAAAAATTAAAACTTGTTGAGTTATATATATATATATATATATATTNAAAAAAAAAAAAAAAAAAAAAAAAAAAAAAAAAAAAAAAAAAAAAAAAAAAAAAAAAAAAAAAAGAGAGAGACCCCTTGGCTCAATGAGAAGCACTTAGTAGCCTTCCATTAAAGAACATGAAATTTGTATGAGCGAAGCTGCCTGTGCTGCTAATGGCATAAACTTCAGTGAAACACTTTCAATTTGTAACTCCCACATGATATGGAAAGTGTTTGAAGATTGTGAAGGTAAAGGGCTCTTTCATTTATCCACAACTGATACAACAAACCATTCTCCAACTAACTTTTTTAGGAAGGATTCGACTCAGAAACAAAAAAAAAAAAACACAGCCTTCTTCTTCCAAATGGGCGAAAGGAAAAGGGAAGAGTCTTTGCATAAACTGTTTTAAGAACAAAAAACACAGCCTTATTATTACAACACTAAAACCGTCTTCTCTGTCTTCTCTGTCTGTCTGTCTGTCTGTCTTTCTTTCTTGCCTATATAATACAACCACAACAAAATGACATTGCAAACACATTCCTAACCGCAATTTGTAACGTTGAATTCTATTAACAGGACGTGGAAAAATGAAGAAAGGAGAGATTGTCGTTGTCGATGTTGATGTTGATGTTGATGTTGACGTTGACGTTGATGTTGTTGTATGTACAACAGCCCATATGCTCTACGCCGCGATCAAGGACGACGAATCCAATGGCACAACGCTGTCTGGAAAATCAGTTCTTGGTCCTGCTAGGGAATAGTATGCAAGTATATGTGCAGGGTGATCAGCGACCACCATATCCCCAACTTCATCCGACACCACAACTCGTCTCGACGGAATCAATTCGATGTTCCAGAACGGGCGTGCCATTGCCAGAAGATCGCGGCCTGAGGAGGACTCTCTGTAGCCTTGAACCCACAGATACCTGAGGGAAGTGAGTTGCATGACGGAGGCTGCCAATGCATGCTCGCTAAAGCAACACCCTCTCATCTCAAGCTTCTGCAGGCTGGGGCAGCCGCGAGAGAATTCCAACAGTCCAGCATCAGACTCCCCCACATAACCGAGAAGCATCCATCTCACATTTGGGCTGTACCTCCCTATGTAACCAAGACCAACGTCCGTCAATCCACCAGGCCGAAGATACAAAGCAAATCTTTTCAGCTTCTCAGAACACCCTCTCAACAGAGCTTGAACTCCATTGTCAAGTGGCAGATCCGTTATGCTCACTTCTCGATCCAGCAGGACCAGGCGAAAATCGCAGAGATTTTTCGAGTAAGTGCCAATGCACTCGAGAGAGGAATTCGTGATATCGGAAACATACACAGCTAAGTATTCCAGTTCCAGACAGCCCTGAGCCAAAGCAATCAATCCTCTTTGTGAAACAAGACCTTCCTCGTCCTCCAATCCCTGCTCATCCGCACCTCGCTCAATTCTAAGCCGTTTCAGCTTCTTGCAATGACCAGCAAGTACTTCTAATCCTCTATCTCCAATCACGTTTCTAGTCTGCTCAGCCAAACACAATACAATATTAACCATGAACATCTTTCCTAAGCAACCAAAACTTGGGTTTGAAAGATGAATTTTACAATTAGTTTGAATAGTTTTCAAATGAATTTTGAAAGCAATCCTTTAAAAATATGGAAAATGAATGAATTTGATAAGCAAACCTCAAGCACTTCTAAGTTGGGGCATCTCTGAATCAAAGTACAATGGTCTTCCGTACGAAGCAGGGCATACAAGAGGTCCAACTTCTTGAGCATGTTTGCAAAAGGGAAAACTATTGGCATTTCATTCTTTCCCATGTATGTAAGACCCAAACTGCGGAGATTCTGGGGCAAGGCTACAGCGGCATATCTCTCTGGTTGATCATTGAAGGAACCTCCGCAAAATTCCTCCAAAACACCAGCAGCTCGAAAGAAGCCCACCAGATCCAGGATTTCACAATCACTAATTTTAACAGAAATTAAGGAACGGCAGTTTTTGGCTATGAGCTCGAGATCTTGAAATCTGACTTGGGCAAGATCTGTCATGTAAAAATTTAACGTCTCAAGGACGGTGTTGTTCGTAGCAAGTTCATGTAGCCATTCCCCATCGTTCTCATTAATTGAGCTCTCCTCCAAAAACAACGTTCTTAAATTCCTGAAACACCACAATAAAAACAACAACGAGAGTGATGAGAGTATCTCGGAGGAAATCAGAATTTTAATAAAAAAATGAACCAACCAACATATTCAGAACTCACTTTTCATTAATTCAACTTAATTTCTACACGGGAAACATGCTATTATTAGTCCAAAGATGTACTCAAATGCAATCTGACATAATTGCTGAATTTGCACTATCAATCCAAATTAAGGTTCATTTAAGATGAGTTAGAACAGTTGCCTTCTTTTCCCACCAGTTCCCCAAAATGTCTTTCTTCAACAAGCTTGTAAGGCATCAAAATATCATACGAACGACCCAGAAAAAGTAAAAACTAGAAACCTAATAAAGCTCCAAAAATGACAATAATGATAAAAGGAATAACAATAGTAAGTAACCCAGAAAATGGAAAACCAAAACATTAATAGAAAGGATCGGGGGGTTTCAGCTTTCATTCGTCATCGCTCATCGGGAACAGACAATTAATAGAAAGGATCCTCCTCTGAATCTCACAAGTTTCGGATGGCCAGAAATTTCAGCTTTTTAAGCAAAACAACGACAAAACCTCAAAAGACCAATCCCAGTAGGTAGAAAAATATCAAAGAAAATCTCCTTAGCACAGTGAAATCTCGATTAAAAAAAAAAAAAAAAAAAAAAACCTTCAATATAGTTTTGAAATCAGATACCGGCAAGAGCGTCCGATATGGAATAGCCCATCGGTGGAGAATCCAGAACATTTATCGAGTTTGAGCGACTGAAGAACACGGCCCCGTGCACGCGCGAGAAGCTCCAGATCCGAATCCACGACAATCATACGCCGGAAGTGGAGAGACTTCAAGCAATTGAAAGAATCAGCAATCTCCCTTACCCAGGGGGTTACGTACCCTCCCCAATCCTCGGGTATCAAATTAAACATCGCGGCTCTGGGTTTGCCCTTCAATTTCAGGGATTCGAGATGAATAAACCGCCGCCGTAGCCGTTCCGGCGTGGTGGTGTAGCAAAGAGCGATGGTAATGTGCTTGCGAGTGAGCGCATCGAGCTCGTACCATCTCCTGCAAACCTGAGACACAGCGTCGCGATCTTTCGGGTCATGAATATAGGGCATTACACAGCCAAGAACCACATCTGACATCCCCATATTAATTCTACTAGCGTCCCTTTCTTCCATAACTCGGATTAAGCTCGAACAACGCAATCTTCCAGCCCCAGTCTTCACTTTCCGAACTCCAACTCCAAGTCGAATCACAAATCCAAAACCGCCAAGCTCTTACTCAATTAAACATCCATCTCAAACTTAAATTCTCACAAAGTCGGTCGGATGAATAGCTCNACACACAATAAAATGCCCCTCCCAACAAAAAAAAAAAAAAAAAAAAAAAAAAAAAAAGAGAGAGAGAGACCAAGCTACGTGTAAAACAGAACTCCCCAAATCGACAGTTACGAACACAAGACAGTTGAAGTTCGTTAGGAACTGAATCAATCTAGAAAACTCCCGGGACAATCAAGCCCGAGATGCAAAGAAGTGCAACGAACACGATCCGCGACCGATAATTCAAGGAATCAGAGAAGTCCAGGAGGAAGGAGGGGGTCACCGGATCGAGGAAGAATCAGCGAACCAAGGAATCGGGAAGCGACGGAACATGGAGGCGGCGGGGGGCGGCGAAGGGTCTAAACAGAGAGAGAGGGCGGCGAAGAAGATGGAAAGAGTTGCGGAAGGTGAAAGGGACGGCGGCTAAGGACAGTGGGGAGCATTGAGTACGGAGAGAAATGGAGAATTTTGTGGAGTGGGGGATTGGATCAAACCTAGAAAGCTAAAACTCGTAGACTTAACTAATATGCGCCTCAGAAATTAAAAAGAAAAAAAAAATGTAGGAAAGAAGAAGAAGAAAGAAAAAAAGGAGGAGGAGAATGGTCACGACAAGATAATACAGACCAATAAGATTTCAGCGTTGGAAAAGCTGAGGATGGGTTAGATGCCGATCACTGGCTCTTTCCTTATGACGTGGCTGATTCCCATTGTTGGTTTACTGTACCCCTCTCTGTACCTAATTATTGCCCTTACTACTACTTCTTCTTCTGCCTGTTTTGTTAAAAACAAGAATTTATTATTCTTTCTCTCTCTCTCTCCTCTTTTTTTTTTTTTTTTTTAATTATGATATCATGCTTCATTTATTTATTTATATAATATAATTTATTGTGTTAGTAAAATTTTAATTTATTTTTCTACTTTTTAAATCCCGCTTAAAATATATGTTAGTGAGTTGACGATAAATTTATTACACATGTTGGGTGAAATTTGAGAATTTAAGAAAATACAATATTTCTATTATTGCCCTCTTTTAATTTTTAGCACTTTACCAAACGTCAGGCATGTATTTTTCATCTATTTTTTTTAGCTAAGCATGAGATACAATTTCAATTTTAAAAAAATATACATATAATTGAAAATATTGAAATATATAATTTATTTAAAATTTTAAAAAATGGAAGATTTACTTGCCATTAGAAAAAATTCCAGTATTGATACCATTTCAATTTTTTATAATTTTTTCAATTTCAAACTTATTCTTGATACAAATCCAAATAATTTATATTTTTTCTCGAATCTTCAAAAGAAAAGGAGCAAATCCTTTTAAGATTTTTTTTATTGAAATATTAATAATTTCGAAGAATCCCTTAACTATTAAGGATTAGTGGATCGTATTAAATTAATATTTTAATCTTTCAAAATAAATAACCATATGAGATTTTTAATCTTTGTTTTTACTTCATTCTTTCATTGAAAGCTAATACTTGTATGTGTTTTCCAATTACAAAACAACTCAATCAATCCGAAGGAAAAACCAAGAGAAATTTGGTCAAGCTCTAATAACTCCAATAAAATATATAATATAATATAATATAATATAATATATGTTTCAAGTGTGAACCACACATTTTAACTTTACAAGTTGAGTTTTTTAAATTTATGTATAACATTTATTATATTTTTATTTATGAGATGATATTAGATTTATTATAATATTTTATATTCCTTTTAATTTAAATTATATCCATTAATTTCTTTTGGTCCAAATATATATATATATATATATATATATATATAATCCTAGCAAAATCAAATGAGAAATTTTGCGGAATAAGAATTGAAATATTTTTCCCGACGTCTCTAATTTAAATATTTTGTTTGTTTCTCTAAGTTAAATGAATTTAAATATAACTAAACCATAAAAAATATGCAAATTTGTTAGGGATGAAAATATCTCGATATACTTAAACTGTAATTCATTTCTTATGTCAAGGTAGAACTTATATGCACGTGAATATGTTTGACAGAAAAAAAAATTAATAGAATAAGTTTAGTTGATAAAGTCTCGAGTTTCTATTTATTTATTGCATAAGTTTTAAAATCTATCCCCTATTATTTAATTTTTAATATATTTAATAGGTCATGACTTTTAAAATTTATAAATATTTTAAATATAAAATTAAAGTTAATTTTCGATAGACATAATATGTAATTTTAAAGTTAATATTTAAATAATTAAAAAAATCTTAAAAATTGGAGAAAAGTTATAAAAAATGGAGATTTATCAAACTTATAGAGATAGATAGTATATGTTATTTGGATACATATTTGATTAGGATGGTGACAACATATGAATTTTGAAAATTGATCCACATGGATTAGAGATCTGCGATTGTAGTTAAGCCACGTAATGTATATATATCTTAAATATATGTACAAACCAACGAAACGCATGGTACCACACGATTTTCCTTTAATATATTTTTTTCGTTCGAGTATTTTGGAGTTAGTTCTTACGTGAATGAAAATATGAATGTCAACATCAAAATATTGAGACGTAGATAAAAATTTAAAATTTTGAGTAATGAAAAGTTTTAATAAAAGAGAAAAATTATGGTAAAGAATTTATTAAAAAAATAAATACCATTTTTAAAAAGAAAATATAAAAAATTTAACGCTCATAGATAAGTATTGAGCTAGTTTGCAAAATGGTCCCCAAATAAATTTGCAAAGTTTGCAAAATGGTCCCCAGAGCAATTACAAAGTGTACCTTATATTAGCTTGCAAAGGGGCCCCCAAAGCAATTACAAATTGTACCACTTAGGAATGTGGCAAATCCTTATAAATTTTTGTCATTATAATTTGGAGTGTAGCATATGACAACAAAATAAACCAATAACCCTAACATACCAAAGCAATTATCACCGCAAGGTTGTCTTCCATTTTTTAATATATATATTAGATTTATCATTAAATAAATTAAAAAGCTTAAAATGTAATTAATTAACATTATTTTAATAATTTGACTTAATAAACATAAAAGAGTTAGTTAACTAACCGTTAATTATCTAGAATTAAATAACATAATAAGTTTTATAAAATATTTGGTTCCATACTTCGAAATTAAAAAGATTATATTTTCAGACATTTTTTTTTTTTTTTTTTTTATCAAAAACCTTAATCGAAATGGCATTTACATGCATAAAGTTTTATTCCCGGTAAGAAAATTATAATAGATTTTTTTCTTTTTTTTTTTTCCTTAGAAAGTTATTATTTTATCTATCTACTTTTACATACTTTATTTAAAGTTTTTAGTTTTTCTAAATATAAAGAAAAGTTGATGTGGCTTTGATAGATGGTACAATTTTGATATGAGAATTCCTTAGAGAAAAAATATATAAACCGCATACCCTTAATTGAAATTGCTATGTAGGTTGTAATAAAATAAATATATACGTCACAAGCTTATTAAAAGTTATAGAACTTTTCACTTTTTTTATCGGGTGTTCATAGACTATTGGTCGAGATGGAAGAGAGTTGAACAGTTGTGTGGTCATAGAAAAGATCGGAACTTTAAGTCATTGTATTTGAGTCTTTTGCATTTCATTTTGCAATTATATCTCAAACTCAATTTTTTTCAAAGTCGAATGGTGACGGGTTAATATTCTATTCCACCTAAAATTGTAAATTTAAAAATGATAAAAGATGAAATAAACACAAAATTAAATAGTTTTAGTTAAATATGTTTTAAAAAATGAAATTGAGATCCTCAAAGAATCAATTCTTTCTCACCTTTAATCGTGTCTCTTGGGATCCAGTAAAGTATAATTTAATAAAAGGCACCGAATATAAATTAACTATTTAATTTTATTTTTTAGCACACCAGAAATATTAATTAATTAATATTTAAGAAAGATTAATTATTTAAAGTACTGTGTTTTGAAATTGTACGGTTCCTCGCTCTTTTGTGTGGAAAACCATATTTATGATTACTCCAAAAATTATTGGAAATCTGTGTGGGTAAATGCCAACTTTCGTTTTCATCTAATAGTTGTGCTAATTATTAGTTTCTATAAATACAAATTAATTGTTCATATGATTTGAACCATTTTGTCTGAAACTTCTTGTTTGTTTCGCCAAAGTCTTCAGATGGTAATACTTTTGTATCCAAAATATAAGTTTGTTTGGTATTGGTGGGTTCTTTTCTTTTCTTCTGTACTAAAAAGTTAACAGACACTCGTGTTGCAACGCCCACGGTATTTGAGAAATCACTGCAACCAGTGTTATCTTAGTTCTATGGAAAAAAAATTAAAACAAATTTTAATGCTAAAAATGGAAAAAGAAGCTTCTCTCAAGTCAAGAAAAATAATTGAAACTTTGGAAGAAAGAGACGACGCATCGCTATCAGCATCATTTGCATCATTTATGAGCAAGTGACGATAGAATAGTGTTCATGTGAAGTGATTCTGTGGATGAACAGAACACACCTTCACATGCCTCTGGTGGTTGGAATACAACAATGTTCTAAAAGGTTCATCAATATCAAACTCTGCGATACCAAAGAAAAACAAAACAGCATGTGTCAATTGATTCTGTTCTAAAACTACACAGAAAGAGATGTTGAGAGACAGTATTCAAACTTTGTAAAGGCTATACTACTAATGAAGGAAAATATAATTGAGTGTGCTAGAAATGAAAATTGAAAGTTCGACCCCCAGAAGAAATCAGCTGCTCTTCTTCGGTCCTCGTGAATAATCATCGATCAGTGCTTCGACATCTTTCCAGAAGAACCCCTCAACTAAAACTCCATCCTTGGTAAACCTGGAAGAGAGTATAATTTTCAGAAAAAAGTAATTGGATTCCAGAATGCAGTGGAGACAAGGAAAGAGACCAGCGAGTGACACTCTTGGTAAGTTGAACTGATTCATTAGCGCAGATTGATTTGGGTTCTGAACTAGATATGGTTAGAGTATAGAGATGAGAGAATCTGGGAAATTTTGAACACACTACCAATCCAGTGCTGCTCAAGGATCCCTGTACATACAACAATTAAATTACAATCATATATATAATCATGATGATAATGCTTTCTTTAATCATCATAACCAACATATATGACTGTAACAATCTTACTGCAGGAGGATGGGTGCAAAAAATTGTGTTCTTCTCCTTCATGTAAACAATAAACAGCAAGATCCCAATAAAGACTATATACTTGCCAGAGTCAAAGAAAACAGCAAATGATTTGCATTAATTTCATTAAAGAAACCAGGGGGCCTGGTGAACGAAGAAAATGGCGTAACATTCGGAGTATCCAATCTCTCGACTAAAGAACTAAAAGAAAGAACGCGAATGAAAGAAAAAGGATATAATATAACGCAGGCGGCCAAGAAATCGCGATTCTCAGGGAACTTATTTTTGTAAAACTGAGCCACCAAAGCTATGAATATGATGATATAGCCCATAACCAATTTAAAAGTATTCAAACTCACGTCTGGGACATACCCACGACTCATCACAACCTGCAACCAAACGCACAAACAGCGAAAGATTTTAGAGAGAACCAAACAAACCTAGACTCATAAATTGAAGAAAGAAACATAGATTCAATAACCTCAAAAACAGATTCATCGGTAAGGCGTCCGACGGAGAGATGATTCAACAGATTCGCCTTTTTGCCATTTTCTGTCGCCATTTTTTTTTTATATCTTTTGGTTTCACTTCCCTCCGCCGTCCCTGAACTGGAAATTGGGTTCGTCTGAAAGAGAGAGGACACCGACTCTTCGATCTTTCTTCTTCTTTTGAAGTTTTTTTTTTTTTTTTTTTTTTTTTTTTT